CTTATTCTGGAAAGGCACACTGGAACAACCACATAATTGTCCATTTATTATTAAAGTGTTCACATCTATTTTCTTTCCTTGTCTAGAATGTACTTGTGGCATATACATGCCTCTATTACACATATATATTATTAAATCTGTTAATGTGATATGTCAAGCCTTCCAGGTAGATGTTCTTGTTTATCAAATCTAAGAGTAAATAATTTTGCTTACAATAAACATTAGGTATTTTGATTTCAACTTTTCTTAACGACCATGACACAAAATCTTCCACATCCTTATTTTGGCAGCCAAATATTTATTCTGAAATTAGTGATCTGACACTGTCATAATTGCTAATTTATTCACTGAGTTACTAGTGCAATATTTTAAATTCAAATGCAAGTTCTCCTAATGTGACATTTCGAAGGAATTGCAAATATAAATTTCCAGTAGTACAAAATTGGCCTAAGCAATTCTAAATTGCCTTCCTTTATATTTTCTTTTTTTATTTCCTTAAAGATAAAAACTTCCGAAAGAGGCTGGGAAATACAGGTCCTGCCATGTACTTTCAACCTGGTGTAATGTAATATTGCAATGTTGTTTCCAGAGACCGCATGGAAAAAAAATATTTTATTCATTTTATTTAGCAATTTTGTATACCGGTCTTCTCCCCTCTATCGGGGGACTCGTGCCGGTTTCCAACAATAAAATCACAAAACAATCATTAAAAACATCATATAACATATTCAATTAAAACGTTATAATAGCAAAATGCAATCACAAAAAGAAAAGAGATGGCTGCTAAAAACCCCAAATTATGCAGACGTCACACAGCAGATGCAAACAATATAAACAAATTCAATTTGAATTATGACAATATTAAAAGTTTGTTGGATCCAGTTCAAACTCATTATGCATTGAAGAAGAAAGCACGTGCCAAATTCGACTTATGAGTTGACTTATTCCCAGTTTTGACAGCCTCGCTAATTAAAGCATTCTTTCTAGTGTGCATTTCTTATAGTTGCCACTGAAATTTCACCTGAAGCAAAATTCAAATCAAATCTGGGAGTTCTCCTCAGGAGAAATGTCTGAGGAATTTTGAGAGAAGCCAGAAGAGTAGAGGAAAGTCTAATGAAATTTCTGGGGGGTTCTGCATATCCTTGGGTTCTGATTATCTGTTGCCTAAAGTGAAATTCAAGGTGAATTTGGAGACTCCTCCTCGGGTGAATTGTGTCATTAATAATTTCTGCAGGAGGGTGGGATTGCACATTCCTCGTATATCAATATCTAAAATGATTGTCTTCCATGGAGAGAAATATTAGGTGATAGCTAATTATAAGTAAGATATACAGGTTGGATGTCAAATTAATTTACATTTTTGCATAATGAAGCATACTGCATTAAAAATTGTAAATGTTTTTAAGAATGAATATGGTCTGCATTCTATTGGATAGCTCCAGCTATCCAGAAGAATTGAATCGATTGTTGAAAGTCCATTGGTTCAGTACAACTGAGAGTAACAACAGGAATCAAATGTAAGCATGCAGTCTGGTTTTGCATGATTCTATTTAAAAACAGAATAATGAAAGAGTAAGGTGAACATTCAGATTGCATTGTTTCGGTTCTAAACAGGCTTTTTTCTGGGAAATTTTTGAATCACTTTGGCTCTGTCATATTTGGAAGAAAGCAGAGCTGTAGAATAAATAACGTCTCGTGTTTGCAAGGATGTGGCATGCTGTATAACACCGTGCATGGATATGTGCTATTGATTTATTTTCAGAATCTTTGCTTATTGATTTTTTTCACAAGCAATGACAGATTGTGCTGAGAGGTAGCTGTCATATTGAATTACAGATTTTCATGTATTGATTCCCCCACTCCAAAAAAAAAAAAAAGCCAAGAACTACTTACACATATTTCCCTATATAGTTTCCAGCCAATAGCTGTTATTAATTATATTTTAATCTAATTTATTAAAAACAGCCTGCACCTCCCATGAAAACAAAATATTTTAGAAAATGTCAAAAAGGCAAATAAGTAGGAAGTGCTGATGGTGACCATGTATTAGTCTTTAGATGGTTATCCTTCATCAGGTGGCAGGCTGGTGTTTTCTTAAGTGAGATTGCATCAAGTAGGATCTTATGAAACTTTGAAAGAATGTATTCTAGTTTAAAATTCTTTCTCTGTTAGACATCCTGTCAAGAGTGTTTTCCCATATTGTTGATTAAAGATATATGCAGATTACACCTCAGGCTCAAAGATTAAAATAAAGGGCACAGTTCTACCCACAATTAAAGACTTTAGAATGGTATTAATTTCAGCAGGAAAGGTTTAAGCATATTCTTCCACTAAACACATTCAGGGGTAGCCCTTTTGGTCATGCAGCAAAATAAAACACAATAAAGGTATCATTCAGTTGTACAATTTGTTTTATCTTCCACTACAATTTGTTTCTTGTGCTCCTTCTGGAACAGTATTTGGTATGATTTCCCTTTGCTTCACAATTGGGAAGATATAGGACCAATCAGAACATTACCATCAGCAACAACCCAGACTTTCTGACAGTCAAAATATTGCTTACATATTTTGAAAGCAAACATATTTTATTTATTATTTATTTATTTCAGTTACTTCTACCCCGCCCTTCTCACCCCCGAGGGGGGACTCAGGGCGGCTTACAAAAGAAGGCACAATTCGATGCCTATGTCAAATATACATACATATATAAAGCAATTAAACAGTTAACAGGTTAAAAACATCTATACATAACACAATAGTAAACTAATCCCATGCTCAGTGTTCAGAGTTCCGTAAATCCATTCCGTTCCATCAATTCCTGCTCATCATCAGGTCTTTCTTTAGCTGCCAGAATGTCCAAATGCCTGGTCCCACATCCAGGTCTTCAGTTTTTTTCTAAATGAAAAAAGGGAAGTCGCTGATCTAATCTCCCCGGGGAGTGAGTTCCACAGGTGAGGGGCCACCACCGAGAAGGCCCTGCTCCTCGTCCCCACCAGCCTCACTTGTGATAGAGGCGGGGTTGAGAGCAGGGCCTCCACAGAAGATCTTAAACTCCGAGGTGGGACGTAGAGGGAGATCCGTTCGGACAGATACACTAGGCCGGAACCGTATAGAGTTTTGTAGGTCAAAACCAGCACTTTGAATTGTGCTCGGAATTGTAGCGGCAGCCAGTGGAGCTGACATATTTAGAATTGTGTCTTTAAGTATCAATATAATAATAAATAATAATAATAAACTTTATTTATAACTCACCACCATCTCCTCAAAGTGACTCGGGGTGGCTAACATGGGGACACAAACAAATTACAATAAAGCAAAAGTACATATAAAACAAAACGATAACATCAAATAAAATACTTAATAATAACATAGTTTTTTGGTCGTGTCAGGAGCAACTTGAGAAACTGCAAGTCACTTCTGGTGTGAGAGAACTGGCCATCTGCAAGGACATTGCCCAGGGGACGCCTGGATGAATTGATGTTTTTATCATCCTTGTGGGAGGCTTCTCTCATGTCCCCGCATGAGGATCTGGAGCTGCTAGAGGGAGCTCATCTGCCTCTTCCCGGATTCGAACCTGCAACCTGTCGGTCTTCAGTCCTGCCGGCACAGGGATTTAACCCACTGTGCCACCGGGGGCTATAACATAGTAATGAAATGAAAATAACAAAATCATAGTAAAAACATGATAAAATGGTAATAAAATTAGACAAAGAGAGCTAGGCCGATGGATAAAAATTGATAAAAATTGATAAAAGCCATGGGTAAGATAGATAGTGCTATGACTTGTAGGGGGTTTGGACAGGTCCCTTACAAGTCACTGTATTTATATAAAACTAGCTGTGCCCTGCCACGCGTTGCTGTGGCCATTAGTAAGAGTTTTGAAGTCTTTGCCTGGCCTCTCTTCCTTCCTTCCCTCGTTCTCTTTCCCTCTTTCTCTCTCTCACACTCCTTCCTTTCCCTTCTCTCTCTCTCTCTCTCTTTCTCTCTCTGGCATCCCTCCTTCCTCACCCTTCTTTATGCTTGTGTGTAAACTTGAGTATTTTCTGTTGGTCATGGGGGTTCTGTGTTGGAAATTTGCCCCATTTCTGTCTCTTTAATTGTAGTAAACTATAAATCCCAGTAACTACAAATCCCAAATGTCAAGGTCTATTTCCTCCAAACTCCATCTGCATACATATTTAGGCATATGGAATTTTTGTGTCAAGTTTGGTCCAGATCCATCACTGTTTGAGTCCACAGTGCTCTCTGGATGTAGGTGAACTACAACTCCCAAACTCAAGGTCACTGCCCACCAAACCCTTCTAGTGTTTTCTGTTGGTGATGGGAGGAGGGAAGGAGTGAGTCAGGGAGGGAAGGGGTGGGGAAGGGGGGGGGCAACTTTGAAGACACGCCCCCTCCCTTCACCCCACCCCTTTCCTCCCTGACTCACTCCTTCCCTCCTCCCTCCCTCTCTGGTTAGACACACCCCCTCCCTTCCCCACCCCTTTCCTTCCAGGAGTGAATCAGGGAGGGAAGGGGTGGGGCGAAGGGAGGGGGCGTGTCTATCCATAGAATAGAGTTGAAAGGGACACTCCAAGCCTCGCCGCGCCGCATCCCCACCGGAAAGACACGCCCCCTCCCTTCGCCCCACCCCTTCCCTCCATGACTTACTCCTTCCCTCCTCCCACCACCTCTGGAAAGACACGCCGGAAAGGAGTAAGTCACGGAGGAAAGGGGTGGGGCGAAGGGAGGGGGCGTGTCTTCAAAGTCGCCCCCTCCCTTCGCCCCACCCCTTCCCTCCCTGACTCACTCCTTCCCTCCTCCCTCCCCCTCTGGAAAGACACGCCCCCTCCCTTCGCCCCACCCCTTCCCTCCGTGACTTACTCCTTCCCTCTTCCCACCACCTCTGGAAAGACACGCCGGAAAGGAGTAAGTCAGGAGGAAAAAAAAAAAAACAAAAAAAAAAAAAAAAAAAAACCCCAACAAAACAAAACGCCAAAAAAAAAAAAAAAACAAAAAAGAAAAAAAAAAAAAAAAAAAAAAAAAAAAAAAAAAAAAAAAAACAAACAAAAAAAAAAAACAAAAAAAAGAAAAAAAAAAAAAAGAAAAAGAAAAAAAAAAAAAAAAAAAAAAAAAAAAAAAAAAAAAAAAAAAAAAAAAAAAAAAAAAAAAAAAAAAAAAAAAAAGGGGAATATGTATATATGTGTGTGTCATGACTTACTCCTTCCCTCCTCCCACCACCTCTGGAAAGACACGCCGGAAAGGAGTAAGTCACGGAGGAAAGGGGTGGGGCGAAGGGAGGGGGCGTGTCTTCAAAGTCGCCCCCTCCCTTCGCCCCCACCCCTTCCCTCCCTGTCCTTCCCTCCTCCCCCCTCCGCACCACGCCCCCTCCCTTCGCCCCACCCCTTTCCTCCGTGACTTACTCCTTTCCGGCGTGTCTTTCCAGAGGTGGTGGGAGGAGGGAAGGAGTAAGTCACGGAGGGAAGGGGTGGGGCGAAGGGAGGGGGCGTGTCTTTCCGGAGGGGATGCGGCGCGGCGAGGCTTGGAGTGTGCAGAGCGGGGCTTGGAGGCAGCGTGGAGGAGATGAAGGAGGGGGTGGAGGGAAGGAGGCCGGGGGAAGCTGCGTTGTTTGTGTGTGCGTGTGGGCGGCGACATGTTCATGCTGGGCGGGGCGAGAGAGGGAGGGAAGTGCGGAGGGTGCGTTGGCCGTTCGGTCATGTGTGCGCGCGCGCTGGGGACTTTGCTCCAGTGCGCATGCTCAGTTGTTTTGGCGATTTATCTGTGTGTTGTTGTGTTGTTTTCAATTCTGAGTGGATTAGTTTGTACCGAGTGGGTTGTCCTTGGGGCATGGCAATTTTGGTGCAGTTTCGTTGGGGGGTTGTGGAGTTTTGCTGTCCGGTTGAACCAACCTAACAGATTTATATATATAGATTGTATATAAATACAATTTTATCCCTCTGTGTTTTATAATCACAGATTAATGTAAAAATGGAATGGAGCAGAGTTATGAAGAAATGATTTGGATTGGAAATAGGCTGATCAAACATTCATAGACAAATATGTGCTCTCAATACAATACATGGAAAAAAAAGGAATTGGAGGAGTTGAAAGGAAAATAGTTAAGCATACAGCCTGCTGATTCTCTTCTGGTGTGCAGGTACAACTGCACCAGGAGCTCCAATTTTGTTTGCTTTGCATTTAATGTTTGTTATAGTCCTAAGTTTCAGGGACTCTGCAGATAGGTGGCTTCTTTTGGCTGCAATCATTGGGCAAGCCACCTGTCAATTATAGTTAGGTTCCCTGGTCCCGCCCCCTTTTTGGGTTTTGGAGGGAATAGGAGCCTTTTTGGGTCAGTCCACACAGAGAAGCCTTTCGCACAGGACATAATACCAAGAGGTCCTGTAGAAAGCTTCGTCTTCTACAGCTTGGCCGGGGTTATACAGTCCACAGCTTGGCCGAGGATCATACAGCCTTACAGCTCCTTTGCTGAGGGACTTCAGTCAGCCATCACTGAAACCTGAACTCCTTTTTCCCTGGAAGTCTACAAAGCTCTGCTTGGTAAGGGTCACTCGCGGAAGCCAGACGTAGTTGGTACCAGGTGCAGGGGCTCCACGCCAACATCGGCATAGACAGACTGCCCAGATTAGAAGTTAAGGATTTCCCCATTAGTTACAGTTATGAAGATAGTACCTGTTCCCTGTAGACAAGATTGAGAGAGAGCCAATAGACTGTTAAGAAAGCCTTAAAGTACCTGTTTGTTTTCATTAATAAAGAACTTTGTTGAACCTTTAAGCAATCTAAGGACACTGTTTTAAGGAAATCCAAGGGCCTTTAATCTGAGGCAGCCCCAGCGTCCCGTTGGGCACACAGAATTATTGTCCTGTCTACAGTCTTATGCACAGGCCCAGCGTGCGACAGCACATCCGGGAATGTATATTTCTGGATGTGACATTAAGTTCTAGTTCTTCGAAAGTTACCATACAGCCACATGTTTTCCATCTGTATGTACTAATTAAACAAGTTAAAATAAACCCTTACCCATTGACATTCTAGAGGGCTAATATAAGATTCCTTGTTTATCTTCATCATCATCAGCAGCATTTATATCTAGTCCAAGACGCAAAGCAAATTATTAAGGTTAAAACAAATATAGCTTTACAATTAATACTACAGAAACATATATAATTAAATGTTTTCCCATGTCAGGAGTGACTTGAGACTCAATTCACTTCTGATGTGAGAGAATTGGCCTAACAATGGACTAATAAGCAGTTGAAAATGAAATAATAAATAAAGAGTACATTGCAAAAGGCCCTTCCCTGCTAAGCATTCAGCCCTCAAATGTCTGCCAAAAAAGTTCTCTTTTCATTTGATCCAATGAAACTTTGTCCTCACTTTCCATTCTATGCAGGACTCTGTAATACTTGAGAACTAGCTTTGCAGTTTTTCTAGTCCTCCAGAGCCAATTTGAGAGACACAAGATGAGAAAGCTGTTACAGAGAAGGGTTTCCTGGGTTTTGGTTCTATTGGTCATCAGTAGATCTCATTATTGGATATACTGCTCATATATATTGTCGAAGGCTTTCATGGCCGGAATCACTGGGTTGTTGTAGGTATTTTCGGGCTATATGGCCATGGTCTAGAGGCATTCTCTCCTGACGTTTCACCTGCATCTATGGCAAGCATCCTCAGAGGTAGTTTTAATCCCAAACAAACACTCTTGCTAGGAATGTGGCAAGAACTGAGTGTCTGTATCTTTTTAACCATCTGATAGATATATGACATATTTTCTTTTCAACATTTTTTTTCAGATTTGATGCATGGAGTGTCCTCATCAGATTGCTATTTACAACATTGTGACCATAAATTGAAGACATGCCCATATCCCTTAAAGCAGGTAATAATAATAAGAATAATTTTAAAAAACCAGATGTGATAAATGAAATGTGGATACAAGTGGACAAACAGAAATATGAGTCATGAATAAACAATTGTGTTCAGTACTGTGAATTTATAGAATAAGTCTGCATCTGGTTATCACTTGCATAAGAAATATAAGGAAATTGTTAAGCAATGGGATTGGAACAGATGATGGCATCTGAGCCCTAGGCAACCATATATTCAAATCATCTTTGAAACATCTGCATCTTGCTGTTCTGAGTTTTAGTTTGTATTCACATGGCAATAGTTACAGACAGGCAGTGGACATAGTAGGTAACATTGTCCAGAGTACTGGGTTTTTTTCCATACAAAGCTATGCTGAAGAGTATCACTGTTGGCAACAATGTGATCTGCTTGCATTTTTATTTGCCCGAATGATTGGGCATGCAGTTTTGAGTTTAAGAGCATTCTTGTCCTTGAGGTTCAATTGGGGGATATACTCCAGAGTTTGCTGGAAACCCGAAGTGGCATTGAACTTTGCAATAGTTTGGACAGCTGTATCAGATTTCATTCAGCCTGACCTCACATCCAGACAGACACTCCTGCCATCACCCTTGTGCTGATCAGCAAAGGGGAAGGAGGTGGGCCATAACCAAATCACTGCTGTCACTTCCTTCCAGCTATAAATCTTGTTCTCCTGGTCATCATGGTCATGTCTGCTGATGTAAGAATGTCATGTCTGCTGATGTCAATCTACCTCTGTCTTTCCTGGTCACCTCATTTTGACATCAACAGATGTGACTGGTAATTGTCAGGCACCAACAGCATGCTCCATGATTATCAAGGAGTGGCAGCATCAATATGAAGGATGAGGTGACTTCTAGCAGAACAAGTGCAAACTTGGTTCAGCTGGACCATCTGGATGGCAATGAATCATGGCAGTGGGTTTACCCCAGTGCATGTGATCCCATTATGAGCAATCCAGGGCTAGTTTGGAGTATAATGCTCTGGATGTAGAGCAGCCAATGGAGGCAATTTTGTTATTTTCTATGGTCCTACAATATCTCTTTGCATGTTGATATTCCAAGTCAATTGACATTCCAGACCATGTCTTTGAATTCTAACCCAAGAAAAGTGGATCAATTGGTAGTAGTTGTTTTTGTCTTTAGGAAAACACTTCATGTTTGGGATGTGGTTGCAAGTAGTAACTCCTTACATAGAATCATAGAATCAAAGAGTTGGAAGAGACCTCATGGGCCATCCAGTCCAACCCCCTGCCAAGAAGCAGGAATATTGCATTCAAATCACCCCTGAGAGATGGCCATCCAGCCTCTGTTTAAAAGCTTCCAAAGAAGGAGCCTCCACCACACTCCGGGGCAGAGAGTTCCACTGCTGAACGGCTCTCACAGTCAGGAAGTTCTTCCTCATACAGGCAGATGTTCTGCACCTTCAGTGGAAAGTGACTGAAATGTGCATGATTCTGGAAAAAAAAAGGAAATATGACCCTACCTGTTACATACAATTGCCATGAGATTCTCAAGACCTAAGCATGAGTACTTTCATGTGGTAATAGTATCATATTACAATGGTCACATAAAGGTGCTCCACAGGAAGATTCTTTTCAAGCATACTCATTTCCTCAGCAGTATTGGATGAGACTACCTGTTACTTAGATATCACAAGGAAAAGAGGGTAAACGTATACTATCTTAGATGCCAAATCGATGAAGACAGGGTGGAGTCCAGCTCCACCTCTGATGAGGAGTTATAGGATAAAAGTAAGGTATCACACTATTGGAACTTTGCAGTAGGCAAAGTGTTGTATTCGGGCTTTGGACTTTGTTGCTGCCATTACTTTCGCTTTGGGTCCTGGGACTGCAGATCATTGTGTTTCTGTGCTTCTACCGACTGGAATCCTGTAAGTGTTGACTTCTACCTTCCTGCTGACTTCGGAGTGTTTTTGGATGACGACATCGTGTTTCGACTTTTACTTCATCTTTTGGACGTGCTTCGACTCTGGACTGTTTTCTGACAACGTTTTTGCTTGCTCCCACCTTGCTATCTTGTGTTTATTGAACTCTGTGATTTTCAAGCAGTTTGCTTAAAGTTTTTGTTATCCCAGATTATATTTCTGCATAATCCGGATTATTCTCAAAGTTGCGTTTTTTGCTTAGCAGTTGCTACAGTCTTTGTTTTATTGCTAGACTCACTGAACTCAAGTGTTTCTAAGCTATTTTTTGTTTATTAATAAACCTTGTTTGGACCTTTTACTTGTATTTGGCTCCTTTAAGGCTTCTGGTTCACGACAAAAA